TAGGGAAAGAGAAAGAAGGCAGGAACAAAGGAAGAGTGTGAGGTGGGGCAGAGAGAATATGAGAGAGTACCTGCAAATGTGGTCTTGTTTGGAAATAGGGTCTCTGCAGATGATCCAGTTAAAATTAGGTCATGAGAGTGGCTTAACCCAACACAATAGTGCTCTCATAAAGGGGATATTTGAACACAGCCAAACACATCGGGACACCAAATGAAAAGAAAAGAAGCTAAGAGATCAGGGAGCTGCTTCTACAAGTCAAGGAATGTGAATGATTGACAGGAAATCAGAAATTAGGGGGAGGTCTGGATCAGACCACACCCTTGATCTTGGAATGCTGGCTTCTGGAACTGTAAGACTACGTTTAGTTTATTTAACTCACCCTGTCTGGAGTTATGGCAGCCCAGCAAATTCACACACTACCCATTTTCCTCCTACTTATTTGAAAAGCACATTCTAGACATCGAATCTTTTTTTTTTTTTTTTTTTTTTTTTTAAAGATTTATTTATTTGTGCATACAGAATGGGGGTACAGGCCAGAGACTCAGGGGTGGCGAAAGACTTCACCAGAGACAGAGTGAGGAGCAGAACAGGCAGATCAACGAAGTACACTGCTGAGGGGAGCAGCGGGTGGGTCAGGAGAGGTCTGCCACACCATGTGGTCACCTCCGGGGCAGGCGGGAATCGAACTCATTCGGAAGTGGTTTCAGCTTCTTAGTGCAGTGCTTTAACCTGCTGCGCCACCAGGGAGGGCCCGACATCGAATCTTTTATCAAAGTGACAGTGCATTTTATCATTATATATGTTACAGGTATGCTGTATCATTTTTTTTCTGATGTCATTTCCATTCCTTTTTTATCTGAGACTTGTATTTATTTTTTAAATATATTAATTCATCTTTCATTTTTGTACATGTTTTCTCTGTGAAATTCACCACCAATTCACTGTGCACCATCACCGTGTTCCCTTGTGCTCTTTCCTATTGGCAGAGCTCTTGCATAACCTTGACTGTCATCTGGACTTGGATACCGAAAGGCCTGTGAAAACATATCCCTTGGGGGAACGCTCTCGAGTGCTAGGTCTGAGCTCCAAGAATGTGAGAAAATAGGTCCTGCGAGCAAGCAGCCATGTCTAAGATAGCAAAAGAGCATATCAAGAGAAGTGCCTGGGTGTGTGCAAGGGCTTGGCCATCTGGGACTGGGCAGGGTGTCCCAAGAATTAGAGCAGCAGATGCAGAGTTAGAATAAGTCAATACTCTATTGTTACTGCTTGATAATGTGGAGTATATAAAGAGCACGCTGCGAAATAAAGACTCACTGCATGCTGGACATAGCCGTCATCTCTCTGGTTTGTCCTTCACAGGCAAACCCCAGGTCCTGGACCCACTAGAGGTCCACAAGTGGTGCCCAAAACAGGGACCTGAAAAAGATGGAGATGGCAGCGCCTGTGAATTTACGTAAGGTGGTGAGTAAACGTGGGGATTTCCAGATGGGGCAATCTTCTTCATGCCTTTCTACTTTTGTTTCTCTTCTTGTCAGTCATGGTGCTAAGGCTTCTCTCACAAATTCTTGACTGTTTAAATGTTGTTGTTGAGTATAATCCATGGTTTCCTAATAAAGGAATGTTTGACTAGGATACTTGGAAACGAGTTGGAGAGGTTCTGGTTAAAAACATAAACAAGGAGAACCCATCCCTATTAAGTTTTGGTCTACATGGCCTATGACAAAAACTTAAATGGTAATAACTTTTCTTCTTTTCCAGTTAAGTAGCAGTGTACTTCAAAATACACTTTCTGAAAAATCCCTGAGACAATAAACATGCTCTAACTAGTCTTTTTCCTTTAAAAACATTTAGGAACATAACAGTGACATCGTGCCATTATGCTAGCAGTATTTTTTTTTTTTAATAAGAAGGCCTTCAGTCTTAATTTTGATATTTTCTTGAAATTTTTCTTTTATTTATTTATTTATTTATTTATTTATCATTTTGGCCTATGTGAGTAAAACTGCAGTTACATAAGATTCCATGTGGAGTAAAAAAACTGTGTCTATATGTTGCATGTCTGTATGTCTTTTTCTTGTGTTTGTCTTGGCCTCAAAGTCTTCTAAATTGGTTTAGGTGGTACTTACAGATACTGTAAACAAACAAAAATATAATGTTCATTATAACTAATTTGTTGTAAAACAGGTTGGATTGGTATAATTTTTTCCTCTTACTTGGGTTGATAATGTCAGACAAATAAAAGTTTAAAGTAATTAAGGTTTTTGAAAAAAAGTCTTTAGTTATTAAAAAAAAAAAAAGGAAAATACAAAAGCTAAAATGTTATGGTTTGACTGTCAACATTGTCCCACTAAACGGAGACAGTTTTCCCCCAAATTGAAGATTGTTATTGCTGCTATTTTTTCCCCAAAATTCTAAAATGTCCCAAGCTTCCCAAAATTCTAAATTGAAATACAATTTGATTGTCATTTGGTTCATCAAAGGAAATTCTTTGGAACCTCAGTAGAGCTCCTGAGACACTCTACAAAATTTCTCCTTTTCTTATTGGAAAAGGTATTCAGATCAATTTGTCCAATTTAGTATACTAGTATACATAGTAAACTAAAACTAAAAAGAAAGCATTGTCACCTGAAAAAAGGGTAAACCGGGCTCTCCCTGTTGGCGCAACGGGTTAAGGCCCTGCATTGTGAAGCTCTCCGAAGCCACTGCAGCACAAGTTCAATCCCCCCACTAGGGAGCTGATCCACACGATGTGGCAGACCTCTCCTGACACGCCCACTGCTCCCCTCAGCAGTGTACGTCGTCGATCTGCCTGTTCTGCTCCCTACTCTGTCTCTGGTGAATCCTCTCACCCACCACACCTCTGGCCCGTGTGCCCCAGTTCTGTAAGCATAAATAAATAATTTTTTAAAGATTTATTTATTTGTGCATACAGAACTGGGGTACAGGCCAGAGGTGCAGAGATGGTGAGAGAGAGGATTCACCAGAGGCAGAGTGGGGAGCAGAACAGGCAGATTGACGAAGTACACTGCTGAGGGGAGCAGTGGGCAGGTCAGGAGAGGTCTGCTGCGCCATGTGGGTCAGCTAGCTCCCAGGTAGACAGATATCTAACTTCCACGGAAGTAGCTTAAGCTTCTTAGTGCTGTGCTTTAATCCACTGCACCACCAGGGCCCAAATAAATAAATCTTAAAAAAAAAAAAAAAGGGTAAACACAACTGTTTGGCATAAACACAACTGTTAATTAACATTGTTTTTCTAAAATGTGTATAAAATTTTTTTTGATATGTACGTTTGATATATATGTAAATTGTAAATAATGTAGATCATTGTCCTACGATACTAGATTTAATTGGTTTGGTATTTAGAAAAATTGTTTCAAAAATATGGAAAAGGAAAAAACGGAGTTTTTTGTTTCTAGTAAAATACTTCAACTGATTCTACCTAATTAAATTTTTGACAGTGGAAAAATATTTCCACAAAAAGAAAAACTGAACAAATTTTTACTAAGTTTTGTTTAAAATAATACTGACTTTGAACCCCATCAAAAAATGGGCAGAAGAGCTAAAAAGACACTTCTCCAAAGAGGACATGCAGATGGCCAACAAGCATATGAAAAAATGTTCAACATCACTCGTAATAAGGGAGATGC